AAGACCTCCAATACATTGTATGATCCCCCCATTTAAATTAGATAGATGGATAATGTAAAATTACATGCTTGCCACTACTATAAACAGGGCGTTATGGGTCATTTTTATCTTTATGTGTGCCTGTAAATTTTGTCCTACAGGTCCTCGGGTCGAAAAACTGAGTTGGTTTCAGTTGACTATTTGTCTAGACATTGACCGGCCTTCGCTCTGGGAAGCCAATCAATTTTTGAGTGTGGTAGTCGATCGACCTAAGGGCAGCTGATCAGCTTGCCTGATTACTTTTCCTCGGTGATCTCTGGTGATCTTTAAGGGAACTATTAAGTGAGCTTTGCATTGATACCTGTTGAATTATTGGGGGAATTAGACTTTTGACCAATTGTTTATTTTAGAGGTATTGGTGTAGATCCTTGCCCCTTATTCGTCTAGATGGCCTTTTAGTCGTCTGACCTTCAGTTGGCTGGTGCTTTTCAGTGGGATGAATTCATGATGCCTAGCAAACTTTCACTTGAGAGAATTCTCATCATTTAACTTTTATTCGAGCAATTAGATTATTGTCTCGTGGTTTATACTGACACATTGTTGATATATAACTAATGATGATATTTTTTAGAAAAGAATTGAAGGTTATAAATGTTTAGGCCTTTGATATAAAAATATATAAGAATTATGAATGTCTCATAGCCCCATAAACAATTGCTTGATCAGCTTTATTATAATTTCTATAATTTTGCTTTCAAAGTTGCTTGATCATACATCAGCTCTAGAACTGTACAAATCACAAAAAAATGATTATCATAACTCCATTATCATATAAGTAGGCAATATGCATTGTAACCCATATAAGCAGTATTATTCTCAAAATAAATTTAATAATTTTTAAGGCCATTTTAATATAATTTATAGATGATATTCTAGCCTAATTTTTTTTTCCTTTTTGAGCCCTTTGATCCATGAATTGAAACAAAATAATTAGGTTATCTTTGTTCAACTTATAACCCGCAATAAATTTATTATTATTAATAAAAATTTATAATAATTATTTTAAAAATCAGACCAGATATTGAACCAAAAGAAGAGGATGTTAAAAGTTTCATGGTTTAATTAAGAGATTAAATGGTTTAACTGGGGCTAAAAATAAAAATTAAATTTTTTAAAAAATTCAATACATAGGCACAATATATCATTTTATGATTGTTCACGCTTATCCTGAAACCTAGTGCATCTTTTCTACTTTCAAATCCTCTTTCAAATCATGATTTTGTGTCAATCCTTGCTAAAAATGTTTAATTTATTTAATTTGACATCAATGTTGATTAATATTCGTGATTGTGTTGTTATCAATGCACTGAACTTTTTAATCCTTTCACTCCATCTACATACCCAACAATGTTTGGTTTTACCTCCAACATAAAAAACAAACCCCACAATATTTTAATTTGAAATAATATCAAGACAATATTTGTATCAATTGACAACAAAAATAACAGCAACAACAACAACAACCCTTGTCTTAATAAGTGGGGTCACATTGATAACTTCTTCAATGGGATATTGTTGTTGAATGTGAATATTAAATTGTCAAATTTTTGTACTGTTGTCATAGGGAGATTGCTTTAGGCCATGCAAACTTCTTCAATAGATACACGTGATCTTCTTTGGTGCAATTTCTAACCCGAGTGATTGTTGTTGAATGTGAATAATGTCATTCGAATCACCTTAGAGAAAAGTTTGTCTTCACTATTAGTTGTTTCTACAATTGGCCATATATTGCAATCACTACTAATGAAGACTAGATAAACCAATGCTTACCTATTTGTGAAAAAATCTTTTTAATCCTACACCATTTTGATTGTTGCCCATTGCAACCGAATGTACATTCTATCTAATATAATCTTCACCTTAAGTTTCTTTGCATTTGAATACACATTTGTGGCCAAATTTTTTTTTTTTACTTTACCGAGTTAATCTATTGAATCGGAAGTCCCATTTTCTATAAAGACTCTTTATCTTTACCACTATTGTCGAATGTTGCTTTAATTCTCTCCCACTAATATCTTCCTCAAAATTGGATGGTTCTTAATTACAGGTGAACTCTACAGCTCTTAACGTAAGCAACATATGGGAACAAGAGAGATCCTCATATCTTACTCTCTAAGACTCTCTAATGTCTTTAAGCTTTGTGAGAAGCATTATTTTGGATGTGGTTTTAAAAAACATTCAATGCATAGGCACAATATATCATTTTATGATTGTTCATGCTTATCCTGAAAACTAGTGCATCTTTTCTACTTTCAAATCTTCTTTCAAATCATGATTCTGTGTCAATCCTTGCTAAAAATATTTAATTCATTTAATTTGACATCTGTGTTTATCAATATTCGTGATTGTGTTGTTATCAATGAACTTAACTTTTTAATCCTTTCACTCCATCTACATACCCAACAATGTTTGGTTTTACCTCCAACATAAAAAACAAACCCCACAATATTTTAATTTGAAATAATATCAAGACAATATTTGTATCAATTGACTACAAAAATAACAGCAGCAACAACAACAAGCCTTGTCCCAATAAGTGGGGTCACATTGATAAAACTTTTGTCTTTGAGTTTTCTTGTTTATATGCTCCTAGTTATGTAAAATTATTTCCTTAACGTTTACAATCGAAGTTTTTATTATTTTCAGGAATATAATTGCAAATGAATTCAAGGAAAAACAGCTCAAGTCTTTAACAGCTAATATCCATCATATGGAAGTGACAAATACTATTGTATGCAATTATGATGGAAAAGAGGTTAGCAAGTTTTATTGTCTGTACTAAGTCAGGGAGGTCATTACAGACCTCATTTTTCACTTTGCTATTCTAAGATAGATTTTTTTTAAAGAATTTTCTGAGTACTGCTAAAGCATTGGAAGTATTGATGCTTATGATTAAGCAAATACAAGAGGTAGATTACTTATAGAGAAAATATTCTTAATTAAGAGAACTTCGGTTGAACAAAGACAGTCTAAAATAATTACAAATTTCTAATCAGATAAAATCACTATGATAAGAAAAGTTAATGTTAGTTTTATCTTCTAAACATCATATTATAGCAATGTTATGTCTAATGTTTTGTTTTGATTTAGCTGCCCAGAATCTTGGGATTCAAATTTGTTGATAGGGTATTGTTAGATGCTCCATGCAATGGTACTGGGGTATTTAATAATAATTAAGAAAATAATACCAATTTATCAAAGATACATAGTTACACATATATATACATACATAGATACATAGATACACATATATATACATATTTAGATACCTACTTCATTTTTCCTTTTACGTTATGCTTATAAAATTTTCAAATTACATGGCAAGCATTAGTTTTCAATCAATTCATATTTTGAATTTTTAGTCCCCTATTTGTAGAATTTTGATGCATTTTAAGGGGCCCACATTCTATTAATAAAAGTATTTTGTGTTGTTTTTCCTTTATTTTTCTTTTTGAATTTACCACACGTAATATTTTCTCGTGATTAAAGATATTTTTACGGTGAATTTATTAAATAGCCAAGACAAACAGTATTCCTCCATTTAAAAGCTGAAACTTTTCAAGCCCAGATGATGCAAATCAAGGAGACTGATGTGCTTGTTTCATTTCAGTAGAGGTTTTAGAATATTGTTTCTCTATATTATTTTCTTTTGATGATTTACATACAGACCACTCAATTATTATGTATTTAAATATCAAATATCTAAACATTTAATTTTTACATACAAACCACCTTATCTACGCATGATAAGGTGTATTTCACTGTTTAATAGTTCAAATTGTATTTAACTAGATGTCTAACATCTAAACTATCAATTATTATGATTATGTGAGTTATCTTTACACTGCAGCTGCATCAGCTGATGCCTTCGTTGCTAAGAAGTTAGGGAATAGTGTTGCAAATAATCATTGGGAGCTTAGAGATTTCTCTGCAAATTGGCCAAAGTTTGTAGACAAGATGAAAGGGCTAAAATAATAATAAATCAAAATATTATACTATCCATTAAGAAAATAATACCAATTTATATAGTATCAATTGGTAAATACATAAACAAAAAATGAAACGAATAAAATTTCCTCCAGTATACATTTAAAATTCCATTAAATGTAATCGTAAATTTACTTGGATATAAGAAATCAGCAAACAAAAGAAAATTTTACATATTTACCTCATCTGAAATGAAGTACGAAAAAAAGGATTAGAGGGTGAAGCCCCGTATCATCAGACAAACTTGTCAATGCTTCATTGAAAATGGCAGGTTCAGACTCGCTGATGGTTGGCTCAGAGATCTTATCAAAGTATAGCTGAAATACAAATGAATTAACATAATTACAAGCTTACCATAAGACCAATGTTTTGATACTTGATAAAATAATGAAGGAAGTTTTACAAACAATCCACATATTTCCCATGTAGTTACATATCTGACACCTAAACTTCAATTTTAACATAAATTACGCATAATTTCATAAGCTATTTGCAAAAAACCATCCAACGTAACTACACTTATGAAGCGATCAACATAAGATCCTACATAAAACAAAAAGCCGCAGCTATAATTCACGAAAATACAGTAAATAAACCAAAACAATAAACATGATCCCAAGAGACACCAAAGAAAATATCAAACTTCCAAAAGCAGAATCTCAAATCACAAATTGGCATCCAATAAAGAAGAAAATCACCTGCTTAATGATTTCCACCCCAATAGCTTTTTGTAACATTCTAAACTCTTCCAGTCCTTCCATGGAAGAACTTGTGAGGCACACACATATTTTCATATATCAATATCAATTTACATATGAAAGACAACCACTCAATTAGTATGTATTTACATATCAAATATCTAAACATTTAATTTTTACATGCAAACCACCATCTCTGAGCCAACCATCGGCATGATAAGGTGTATTTCACTGTTTAATAGTTCAAATTGTATTTAACTAGATGTCTAACATCTAAACTATCAATTATTATGATTATGTGAGTTATCTTTACACTGCAGCTGCATCAGCTGATGCCTTCGTTGCTAAGAAGTTAGGGAATAGTGTTGCAAATAATCATTGGGAGCTTAGAGATTTCTCTGCAAATTGGCCCAAGTCTGTAGACAAGATGAAAGGGCTAAAATAATAATAAATCAAAATATTATACTATCCATTAAGAAAATAATACCAATTTATATAGTATCAATTGGTAAATACATAAACAAAAAATGAAACGAATAAAATTTCCTCCAGTATACATTTAAAATTCCATTAAATGTAATCGTAAATTTACTTGGATATAAGAAATCAGCAAACAAAAGAAAATTTTACATATTTACCTCATCTGAAATGAAGTACGAAAAAAAGGATTAGAGGGTGAAGCCCCGTATCATCAGACAAACTTGTCAATGCTTCATTGAAAATGGCAGGTTCAGACTCGCTGATGGTTGGCTCAGAGATCTTATCAAAGTATAGCTGAAATACAAATGAATTAACATAATTACAAGCTTACCATAAGACCAATGTTTTGATACTTGATAAAATAATGAAGGAAGATTTACAAACAATCCACATATTTCCCATGTAGTTACATATCTGACACCTAAACTTCAATTTTAACATAAATTACGCATAATTTCATAAGCTATTTGCAAAAAACCATCCAACGTAACTACACTTATGAAGCGATCAACATAAGATCCTACATAAAACAAAAAGCCGCAGCTATAATTCACGAAAATACAGTAAATAAACCAAAACAATAAACATGATCCCAAGAGACACCAAAGAAAATATCAAACTTCCAAAAGCAGAATCTCAAATCACAAATTGGCATCCAATAAAGAAGAAAATCACCTGCTTAATGATTTCCACCCCAATAGCTTTTTGTAACATTCTAAACTCTTCCAGTCCTTCCATGGAAGAACTTGTGAGGCACACACATATTTTCATATATCAATATCAATTTACATATGAAAGACCTGGGCACACACATATTTTCATAAAAGTTAAGTAATAAGCATATGGAAAATCAAAATGGGGTTATAAGAATTTAAATTGGGGATGGGCTCAACCTAGACTTTCATTTGTCACGATCCCACAGGCAACCAAAGTATCGGAGTCTATATATCAATATCAATCAAAAGTCACCAGCAAATCATCCTAGAATCGAGAAATTCCTAAACCTAGTCACATAATTGATGAATGAACCTGTAACTAGTATCTGAACTTTTAAACTAAAGGTGGAGTGTATCTATATATGGTATCTGATATGTAATATCTGGTGCATAGTATCTCGTATGTAGCATATAGTGTATAATATTTAGTGTGTAGTATCTGGTGTGCAGTATCTGGTGTGCAGTATCTGGTGTGCAGTATCTGGTGTGCAGTATCTGGTGTGCAGTATCTGGTGTGCAGTATCTGGTGTGTAGTATCTGGCGTTAGTTCACAAATCTCTTAAGAAAGAGTTAGAACTACCAACTACTCAAAGGATGACAAGGGCATCTTTATTTGATTATTGATTAAAATATTTTAGCGATAAAGAAGAGCTAAGAGTGATTTTTGCATCATCGCCCTTACTCCCTCAATTTCCAACTTATAGGCCATTTTGATATTCCACATGCATATCCACAACTTTATATTTCACATCAAGAAATTGGGAGAAATAAACCCCCAAATAGTTTTGTAACATCTAACTCCCACCTTTAAGTTCAGATTTTGAATGTACATTCATAGAAACATTTTATATTTCACAAACTTTACAAAAAAAAAAAATCTGTTTGTAGCTTTATATAATCAAATTCGACCATCAAGAAATGCAAATTGCTTCTAAATAAAAATAACTGAAATTCTATTTTTTGATAATCTTCATTCCCAACATTCTATATCTATCTGACAAAGATTCAACTTACAAAGGATTGGACGATGCGGTACATCAATAATATAAATTCACAGAAATAGTTATAGTATTAATCAATTAAAAGAAAAAAAATTCAGTGTATATCCTCTGTGTTCAATATTTAAGCAAGACTCCATGAAATTTAATAGATACACTCAACTTAAGAGAGATTAAAGAAAAAGGCTCCTCTGCATTTGTATTGCAGCTCAGCCCAACTCTATACTCCTTTTACAACCCAATCAGCCTCTAGAATTTCCTCCATCATTAATACACTGCTTCAAAATTTCAGCCTTAGCCACTTCTAATCATATATACAAATATAAATGTGATGAGCGTCTATATAAATTTTCAAAATCGTCCATCGATCTAGTACTCAAGCTTTAATCAATTAAATAAATAAAATTCTTCGTTAATTAAAGAATTATGCTATTCAAATAATAGGAGCAGGAGGAATAAAAAAAATTAGAACAAATAGCATCTATGAATGATAATATCTTTAAGAGAATGTAATCTGTAAAGATTAAAAGAAACTGAGCACAGAACATTTGATAAATTCAGCTATAGATCAAAATATACACAAATAGCATCATATTCCGAGGCATAAATGAAGCTTATATCTATGTACTTCAGGATAATTCAGGGAAGGGCCAGCAGAACAAAACTAAAACTAAAACCCAAAATCTACAATTCTCATTTCACTTGATAAAACATATGTAATACAATTCTTATGATCAAGCATCCATATTCAAGAAAGTATAGTTATAAGAAAAGAATACTATGCAAATGTAAAAAAAATTACCTATTATACATCCAATTTCTACAATTATTGAAATAGCCGTGAAAGTGTCGTAGTAATCAATTGGCATAAATTCAAGATCAACCAATTATACGTTTACATAAATATCAACCTTAGCAGGCTAATAGCACATAGATAAAGAGTTTGAAGGGAAAGTAAATTTAGGAATCAAAGAACTATATATACCCTTGAGAAGTTCTTATGACCAGCAATTCTGAATTAAAACCAAAAAATGAAAAAAATGTGTTCAGAAACTGTAAGGCATACACATGTATCTCTCTTCTTAAGTCTCACTCAAATATTTAATCTCCTGCCAAGAACAGGTGCCATGCTTCGACTATGTAAAGAAGTAAACAAAACAACGTTCAAAATGCTACTTGATCTTAACAAATTTTGTTTCAAACAGCCATATGTCGTGTTAAAACAAAAGAAAATCCTTAAATATCATCAGGTAAGCTAAAACATCCATTAGCTCGAGTAAAACAAGGAATCAAGAATCAATTCATGACTCAAACTGATCAAACAACATTTCAGGATATCTAAAAAATTAATTCCTTAAAAAGAAAGTCCGAGAAAAGAAAAAAATATTCCCATTGCATGAGATCTTTCATAATTAAATCACATAAGAAGGTGAAATTCCAAAAGATTTTTACCTCCAAATGCTCACTGGACCAAAAAACCGTTAGATGATCACAGAAAAGAAGGAATCGTGAGACAGAAATTCAAAGAGAAAAAGATTTAACTATTCCCAATGTTCCATAAAAAAAAATCTCCGAAATCGTCGAGAAGTGAAACTTATAGTGTAAGAATAGAATCTTGCTTGTGGTGATTCAGCCCTTCCCAATTTTTTACAACAATCAGAAAGATATTCTAATACACATACTCTTTACAGGATCACTTTCTCTTCATGGAAATAATCAAACTAAAATGTACATTCCAATAATTCAAAATCACAAAGAACTGTAAATCCCTAAATTCATAATTAAAAAACCTCCAACATGAAATTAAACATTATATTAAACAGCTAAAGATGAGGGGAAAGGAAGAGCTTACTCCCAGAAAATGTAAAAACTTCAGAGGCAAACGAATCGCAAGATGAATCGCCAACCCCGAAACCCTCCCCCCCCCAAAAGGGTATTTATAGCCAAGCAAGGGGAGGGGTGCCTTGCCAAGTAACCCACCGGTGGTGAGGAGAAATGTCATAGAAGGCACGAAACCGACTCCAAGAATAAGAACAGGAAGGTTACCTGACTCGTTTGAGCGGGAAAATTCGCACCGGTGGAGCAACCGGACGGGAGAACCGGGAAGAACGTTCGACGCCGAAATTCGGTTAGGATTGAGGTGTGGGCGTAAGTTTATTATTAAGAAATCTTATTAATTTTATTTTATTATTATTATTTTATTTAAATTCCTATTTTTATGCTTTATGTTGACTATTTTTTTTCCCTAGCACACAAATCTTATTTATTTACATATCTTAACACCCCAACTTTCATATTTAGATGCATACTACTTTGTTGGTTTATATCTATGCATAAAAAAGTGTACTCTCTTCCTGCTCCATTTCACGTACATTTAGTATTTATTATATTTTGAAAAGTCCTGCTCCATTTAAGGTCATTGGAATTCTCGACGGTGGTTCCTCCTCTTCCGAGCCTCCCCGTCATCATTGGGTCATCAATCACAAAGATTGAAGAATTAATTTAAAATTGTTCTTTAAATTTAATTTAATTTTTTTTAAAGGTTTATGTAAAACATTAAATGTAAATTTTATTGAAATATTCAATGCAATTGTTTTTTTTTTAGATTTTAATTTTTATTTGTATTTTTTGTACTCATTTAATTTGTAAATTATCAAATTTGTAATAAATTGATTCTTATTTTATAATTTTTTTAAAAATAATATTAAAACTCTTATGATGTAAAATTTTGTATTCAATTTGATCATAAATTATTTTGAACAGAAAAAATATTTTTTGAGCCGAACACAAACACACTGTTCATGAGTTTTTTCAAACACGAGCCAATTTCGAACGAACCGAACATGAGACCATTCACGAGCTAATCTGGGAGAACAACAATGGGCACTCTAAAATTAAATTAAATTAATTCAATTCTTCAGCAGAGCTAATCAATTAAAATGAAAATAACTATGTACATAATCAATTAAAATGAAAATAACTATGTACAATTTATGAACATATGATGAAATAACACATCAACAGCAGAGCTAATTAATTAATTTAAGCCTCATTAGGCACAAAATTTGAATCCAAAAATCATTAATACAATTCAAAACTTTGCTTCTAACAAAATAATAAAAACAATTAATTAATTCTAGTTGAAAAATCAATTTAAGCCTTCAGACTTGATCTTCATTCTATTGCAGTTTAAATCTTCTGCTTCTTCAGGGCTTTCCTCTTCTCCCTGTAAAATATCAGCACGAATTTGAATAAAGGTCAGTAAAATTTTAAAAACTTGTAATTTTTATGTGACATGAAACATTTTGGCAGTATAAATGCAAAAAGTAAAGATTAGGTGTTAGATATATAAATACATGGGATGGGTATGTATTTAAATACCACAAAAAGGAATATAAATGAGGTATATTCATTGGATAGTGTGAGTGAGAGATAAATAGCCGTTATATTCAAAGTTTTATGCAATTGGTATGCAAAAGTCTTCTTTTTTGAATATCACAATATGTTTTTGGCACATTATTACCATGGTTTCTTAACGTTACATGACAATTAAAGTAATACATTTTTAATTGAACAAATACAGATTTTTAAGCAATGAAATTAGAAAGGTGTTAGCCCCTTACCTAGCTCGTGAAATTTCTTCTCTTGATGGAAATTTGCGCTTCTTTCTTGCATTGGCCATGCTCGGGCAGTGTAAGTCTTTTCCGATATTTTGATCGCCGCCTATATGTTGAGATTTTTGCTTCCAAATACTCTTCTTACGAGATCTAAATTTGTCATTTTTAACATTGATAATGTTCTTTTGGAAAGTTACTTTCCCATCTTTTTGGGTGCCGATTTTAGAAGCTTCATCCTGCTTTGTCGCCGCGTTTGAGACTGTTATGGTCTTTTCATTTTCGTTGTCCTCCACAATTCCTTCGCTTATGTCCACAGAAGCTGTGGACGGTTCACCCTTCGCTGGTTTGGAATTGCTTTTCTTCTTCAACTGCAAAAAGATGAAAAGGAGTAACCATGGTAGATTCATGTCATCTAAGAAAATAAAAGATTTATATACATACCATTAAATTTCCCTATGTATTTAGATATCTAGCACCTAAACTTTAACTTCTATATTTATCCCATCTTGCCTATGTATGAAAAGGTGTATTTCACTTTTCAAAAGTTAAAATAATGATTATTTTATTTTTATGTCAAATGAAATATTTGGACGGTATAAATGTAAACTGTAAAAGTTCAGGGGTTACATATGTCAATGCGGATTCATCATGTGCAAGTATTTCAGCTAGGTTTTCTCATGGTGAAGGCAACATAATTAATCATGTTTTAAAAAAAATAGAATAAATTGATAAATCCAGTAATAACAAATAAATGCCAGACAATTTCAAAACCAATTTGCACAAAATGAACATATTTTGACAAAATAAGGGAAATTTAGAAAAAACTCGTACCTTAGCAACAAAGAATCCATCCATGTTGTTCACATGGGGGTAGAACCTTCTCGTCTTGTCCAAAGAAACGTGAAAACGATGCTCTCGGAAACGTATGAAGCTGATTAGCAAAGAATCTCATTAAAGATTATGTTGATGTTGATGGTA